ATCCACTAGGAGTTTCTGTAGGAGACAGAGCAGGAACAGGTGTTGAAGACTAGATCCAATCAAACCTTAGCATCAGCTTATACACCAATCCGTGTTGGTGTAAAAAAATGTGCAATAACTGCTTTAAGACCTTTTAAGAATTGATCAGTGGAGAAGAATGAAGTGGTTTACAAGGGCTCGTGGATACTGGTTTCAATGTGGCAAATTATAGCGTGACGGAGTCACAAACTTGCTCTTCGTGCAATTCGTTAGGTGGGTGGGGGCTATCCAAAGGTCGCGGTGAAATGTGTCGTACAAAGCCATAGCTGCACACCTGGAAAAAAGTGTGTCATTCGTAAACCAAAACATGCCTACTATTACGAAAGAAGTAGCCAGTTGTGCGAAAATTAAGCGGGTATGGTGCCTAAACTAAAATTCCACCGATATTTTTAATACGTCTCTGTGTACCGCTGGCTATACGTAGAGGGACAGAAAGCTTTCTCTATAGGCACTTCCAGTTGGGCGATCGAAAGGCAGTGTAATGTCCTGAATGTAGATTCTAGTGGCAATAGCAACAACAGCAACAGCAGTAACGGCGATAATAGTAGTAGTATTAATGAACAAGTAGTAGTACTAATAATACTAGCCATAGAAGTCGTAATAGGAGACTTAGTAGTACAAAAGAGTAGTCGTAATTTTAGTAGTAAAAGGACTCTCACTAAAAGCGAATATGCGAGGAGTAATGCTAGCACTAGGTGCGATCGCTGGGCAAGGATTCTATTCGCTTGACGTTTCGCATTCTATCGCGGATCCATCATCAGAGACAATAACAGAAACAAGTAGTGCATACACAGGGAGTTGCAGTATTTATAGAGTAAGCTCGCTATGCTACTGCATATCTATGAACAAAAACGGTGCTCCCCTATCGAGGATAATTGTTCGCTTGTGGGCTACTTGCTTGATGGCTGGCCTGCGGGTCGCTACTGGCTAAATTTTCATCACCCATCTTGGACTTGGGCGTGGTCACTTACCAAAATTTGGGGTTTGTGCTATTTTGTTAGTTATCTCATTTGCCCATGCACCTAATAACGAATGTGCGTCTACCTACTATTCCACACATAATACTGGGGTACATTACACGCACTGTTAGAAAAGTGCCGTTCAAAAATTTAACAAGACATGCTGATCACCTTTAGTATGAGGCCTGCTTTGTCGTCTTGGGCCTTTTTTAATTATTAGCTTTCTGTTAGCGCACAGGACGACCAACAGACAAGCCACTCATGGGTGCCTTTTTAATCAAATTCAACGAGCATTTGAATAATTATTTTTGCAAAGGTTCCGCTACTGTCTAATAAAGAGTAGTCAATATTTTTAAAATGAAAATCGACTTAGCGGCAGTACACAAATGTAGATTGTGTTCGACGCTTATATCAAAATCTTTAAAATAAGACCCGAACCCGTCATAGCTGTGCCACGCAGCGGCAGGATATCGGCAAAACATGTGTCCGAGCTTTTAGCTATTAGAGTAGGTCGCCGGTTATTAAGCCCACGGTTAATAAGCCCAGCCGCGTATTAAGCCCAGTCGCCGGTTATTAAGCCACGGTTAATAGGCCCAGCCGCTTATTAAGCCCAATTTGGTCTGGGCCCGAGGTGGGTTTAATATATCCACTAGAGTAATTTTTGTTTAGACTTCCCTAAACGTCGGTTACTTTGTGGAATACGACGGCATTGACTCTGAGCACAGGATCCTTGCCTTGTAAATTTCACGAACCCATTGTCTAGGGTGAAAAATTAACTTTGCTTGCTAGCTAAGCGGACAGACTGTTTAGCACATCCGATAGACCTGTCGGCTGTAGCATCCAGTGCAAAAGTGAGGCCCGAACAATTAGCTGATGTTCAACGATATTCATATTTCATCTATGTGAGTTCTCATGATTCACGGCCAGTTCCCAGTACAACGATCCTAAGAAACAGTCATGGCAAATTAAAAATATTATTTGCTTCGCTCCATCTTCCTCATTTTTATTTGAGAATCGAAAACCTGGTTTGTGTCATTTGCCATTTGTATACTTAATAAAAGCGGTGACTGGCTCTGTGTGTGTCTCCATTATCATTGGTGGATGGCATCTGTTTTTAAGTCGA